AGTGACCACTCAAGCAACCTATTTGCATCGCATGCGAAGATCGGCATCTGAAGGGTGCCCGGTCCATGGTGGTCCCCCCTGTCCACGGAGAGGGGCCCAGCCAGCTGCCAACAGCTGCCGGCTTCTCCTCTATGCTGCATTCTGCGGGACCGTCCTGCCCTAATCCTAGGTGTGGAGGATGTGGCCTGGCCTACACACGGGCAGGACTTTGTGCTCAACAGCTACCGTGGCATCTGTCCCTCCCCCTCTCCCAGGGGTCCTTGGTGTGGGTTTCAGTAAAAAGAGATGCTACTGGCCAGGGGGCCCGGGGTGGGGCAGTCCCCTCACCCCCTACCCCTCCCACCCAGGTCCAATTTGTCCTGCATTCCAGTCCAGGAGATGGGAAGCAGATGGTGCTGGCATGGGGAGGGGGAGGGAAGCAAGGAACACGGGGATCTTCCCCTCCCCACCCTTAACCGGGCCCTTGGGGAGAGATGGGGTTGTTTGGCTTGGACTGGCAGGAGATGGTCCGGGCAGGATGGATGTGAAGATAAGGCGCCTTTCTCTGGCCTTGGGACTCCACCCGGGCGGGCGGGCGGGCGGGCGGGCGGGACCCTGCTGGTTTTCTGTGCCAAGGAACCATGGGAGGAAACCAAGCAGAGCTTCGGGACACCTTGAGAGAGACTACAGGAGAGCAGGGGAGGGGCAGGAAGCAAGATCTGGGGACAAAGGACAATGCCGCTGAACAGTAATATTTATTGAAATAAATTCCAGGAAACAGGATGCTTCCCCCCCCCCCCCCCGCTGCTGTTGGTGAAGATGGCGTTGTCTGTTTTTGCTTTTTGGTGGTTTTTATTGTTTTTGTCTTGTCTTGTTTGTTTACCTGTATTTAAGAGGAAGGGCAAAGAGGGACATAGAAATGGAGGGACAAAGGGTGACCAAATGCAGCTGTGATACTCAGTAGACACTATGTTGAAAATGAACTGCACAACTGTGGCAGGGGAGAGGGAAAAACTGGCAAAGAGTAAAGGGGTGACACTGCCCCAAAGAAATATACTCTTTGCCTGACATATAAAATAGGAGCCCCTCCACACATCACCCCAATTTAGAAAAAGATGTGTGCACAGCGGAGGCCTCTCCCTGGCTATGCCCCTCAGCCTCCTTTCTTGTTTTTGGTTTTGTGCCCGTATTAGGGCTTGAACGAAGGTCCTCACACTCTTGCTTGGCCTTATCTACTCAAGGGTAGTTTCTACTGCTTGAGCTACACCTCCACTTGGGCTTTTGGCTGGTTAATTGGAGATAATAGTCTCCTGAATTTTTCTGCCCAGGTTGGTTTTGGACCACAATTCCTTCTCGGATCTCAGCCTCTCGAGTATTTAGGATTGCGGGAGTGAGCCACTGGTGTCAGGGTCAGACTGCCTTTCCCCGAGGAAAGGCAGCCCAGTCTTCCCAGTCATTGGGACATTTGTCCACAGCCGTCTCCAGCTTTATTCCCCCACCCCTACCTCGGTAATAAGAGGCAGTTGGGTTTGTTTTAAACATTTTATTTATAAAAAAGTACATTTTTTTTCCTCAGTACATTTTTCAACCCATCATTTTTTTTCTTTTATACAAGTAAAAGGGGGGTGTGGCAAACACCCCGGGATCAGAACCAGGAGAATGTGCGGGGCCGTCCCCAGGACCACAGACAAAAATGGTGACATAGAAATCGAAGCAAATCACACTTGGTGATGAGGGTGGCAGCTTCTCCTGGATTTCATTTCCATTTATACAAAAGAGAGAGAGAGAGAGAGACAGAGAGAAAGAGACAGAGAGAGAGAGAGAGAGAGGGAGAGAGGGAGGGAGAAAGAGATCCAACTTTTCTGGCCAACAAGCCTGATCCTCACAGCAGCAGCCAGGCCTGCAGCCCTTCCCTTGTGGGCAACTCTGGTCCCAGGGTGACTTTAGCCACCTGCCCTCACTAGGAGCGGGTTTTTGTTGGCAGTCAGGCCTGGAGGTCTCCAGCTCAACCCCTCAAGGCCTGGAAGCACCCCCCCCTCCTCCAGGAGAGGAAACACTGATGTCTGCTGGGCTCAGGTGAGCCGCCACATCCACCTGACATGAGTCCTGATTCTCCTGCCTTGATGGCAGTAACGTTATTGCACCAGTGACTGGGGCCCGTGGGGGGACAGCTGGCCAATCTGCCCCGGAACCAAGCACTAGGAAACCATTGCTTCCCCTGAACGGCGCTCCGCAGGATGCACCCATTCTTCTGCTGCGTCTGCACTGACTGTCCGTCTGGCCGTGTATGTGTGTGTGAGTGTGCGTGCACATGCACACGTGTCTGTGCCTGCAGGCAGTGAGTGTGCCCATGTGCGCGTGTGCTGAGCTTGTGTTCACTGATTCCGTGCTGCTGCCTTTCAGCTCCTTCTGGCAAAAGGGGACACAGAGGGTTGTCGCACACTAGAACAATATCAAAATCCGTAGGGAACCGGGGGCTGTGGGGGGCGGGCGGGGCAGGGAGGGCCACGAGAGGCAGGATGACAGCTGGGGAGGCCTTGGCACGGTAAACACCAGGTTTATTTTATTTCCAGCGAAGCGGAAGCTCAGCTCGTGCTGGGGGCATGAAGAAGCAAAATGTCCTCATCTTTCTGCTGGGCTGGCCCTCCCTCCGGCAGCTGGCTGCGTCCGCCACTGTCCCAGGGACACAGGGCACAGGAACCCCCAGCTCCCTGGGGCCGAGCGCTAACCCGTGCCTCGTGCCCATTCTCACCCCAAGGCAGCAGCTGCCTGGTGAGCAGGCAGGGGCCGGGCTCTCAGCCCCTGCTGCAAGGACCCCATCATTTGTGCTTTGCTTGTGGGGGGTATGGAGATGTTTTATGGGGGACTCAGTGCTTTGGCTGGGCCCAGGGCCTCTTCAGTCTACCACAGAGGGGCGGGGGGGGGGGGAGAATGGTGGGGGGGGGGGGCGACTGGTCCCACAGGGATAGGGATGGCCTCTATCAGGCAGACCCCCGGGCTTGCCTCCTGGGGAGGAGGAGACAGAGCAGTGGGGCCCGTGTGGCCTGAGGAGGGAGGAGGGCAGTAATGTGGCGTGGGAAGGGAACTTGGCCCTAGGGGACGCTAACACTGCTGAGGAAAACAGCCCAGCTCTTCCACTTCCCTCCGCCTTGTGGCTAAAAATCCTTGAATTTTCCCTCCCCATCCTGCCCCATCCAGAGCCTCCAATGCCAAGAGGGGAGAGCCGCCCCCGGGCTGGCATGGCTTCAGACTTCTGCTACATGGCTACTGGGCGGCCTGGGCTGGGGCTCCGGCAGCGAGGGCCAGCGGGGTGGCCAGGGCAGAGATGGAGCTTCTGGCTGGGGTGGGGGTGGGGATTCAATAGCAGCACCTGGGCGGGGAAGAGGCTGGGGGCTGGAGGGCTCCCTTGGGAAGCCTATGGCAGGGTGGTCAGTGCCCCTGGGGCACAGAGTGGTCTGCCTCCTCTTCCCCCAACATCTTCCACAGTACACAGTACCCTGGGCTGTTAGCCGAGATTGTGATGGGCAGGCCCGAGGGCCCTCCGAGCCTGCCTGTCCATCCCAGGGGATGGGCATGCCCATGTCGAGTGCGGGGAACCTGGGAGAGGAGGCAGGTGAAGGAACTGAGGCACTTTGAGCTGGGGGACAGAGAGGGCTGGGAGAGGCCAGCCCGGGAAGGCCTAGCCCTGGACGGCTGAGAGGAACCTGAAGTCCCACTGAGGAGAGAATCTGAACTCAGCGCAGGGCTCTCCCTCCCAGCCCGGGCGTCAGGGGCTGCTGAGCAGGGAAGGGAGAGTGGACCAGCAGCAGTCTCCTGGCCACGCCTGGCTCTGCACTGGCCCTGGGCCTGCGGTGAGGCCTTCCTGTCCTCCCCAGTCTACCCAGCTGTCCTCGAAGCTTCTCCTACAAGGCTTCCTTCTCCACAGAAATCCTTGGCCTCCACCTCTTGGACGGAATTCCCTTTGGAGACCCCAGCCCTGAATTGCCAAGAGAATTAAGTGTTGCTGGCAGTTGATAGGTAAGAGAGGAATCTGAGAAACTTCTATACTATAGGGAGAGGTTGGGGCCATCCTGCAATCCTGGAGTGGCGGCAGCTGGAAGGCTCATCCTAGCTGTCCCTAGAAACTTCCAGATGAGGATTCATCTGGAGAGGGGGAGAGGCAGAGCAGGAGGGGTGGGCCCTGGGCAGCGTCCAGCCTGGGCAGGGTGCAGGAGCCCTGGGAGATTGGGGCAGGCCGAGTGGCATGGACAGGTCCCCCTGTGCATGTGTGGGCAGAGGTGTTCAGGAAGGAGGGGTGAGTCCCCCTGGAGTATCTCCCGGTGTGAGGAACACACCCTGGGGGCACAGGGTGGGGCGCACCAGAGCTGGGTCAGCTTGACTCCGTAGGCCAAGGAGGAAATAAAAAAGGTAGGACCACCCTCACCGAGAAAACATACCACCCAAGGCCCTGGGTAGGAACACTTAACAAGACTCCTCTGCGGGGCTGTGGGACGCCTCCCTACCCCTGTCTCTTCGGTGTGCTGGGTGTCTAGACCAGGGTCCCAACCCCCTGGCTGTGTCAGCTTACGGTGGGGTGTTGGGTTCCTTCTGTCTGGAAAGAGGAGCAGCATCCAGGAGTGAGGGGTGTGTGTGTGTGTGTGTGAGCTCTTCCTCTTGGAGCCCCGTTAGCCCTGCACCCCCAATGAAGAGAATACGAACAAATTTCCAGTGTTAGGGGGTGGGGGCAGGGCGGGCTCCCCAAATCCTGGAGGGAGGCCCAGGTACACAAGACAAGAACGGGGCTCCCTACACAGTGGGTAGCGGGTGGGGTTGTTAAAGGAAAGATACAGCAACACCAAAGCCACAGTGGAACACAACACCATGGGGAAGGGCTGGGAGAGGGAGGAAAGAAAAAACAAAGCCAAGGCGGGTCTGCCCTGGGCTCCCCTGGCTCCCCAGGGTGGAGGCTGGCTTTGGACAGAGGGGTGCGGGAGTCTCTGTGGAGCTCCTGGGGGAGCGGGCAGTAGGGGGTGGACAGGGGGCGTGCGGGTAGGGGCAGGGAGAAGTGGGCACAGACAGAGGCTCCACAAATGGGGGGGGTGGGGGCTACACATACCACTCCTTCTTAGAAATGAAAGACCCGTCGTTCTGAGAAACCATGTTCTCAGCCAAGTCCAGCTGCTCGGGGTCGTACTGGTAGCCCAGAGTCCGGTCCCCATAGCTGTCCTGTCGGGCCTCGGCTTCGTCCACAGTGAAGTAGGGCCGCTTAGCATCCTCGTCGTACTTAGGGTGGGGGGCGCCCACCTTGCGCTCGCCCCCTCCGCCGCCCTCCTCCTCGTCTTCCTCCTCGTAGCTGCTCCCGCCCAGCGGGCCGGCCTTCTTCTCGTCGTCCGAGTCGTCGGGGTACTGCAGGTTCTGCGCCATGGGCGGGTGGTGCTGAGGGATGCCCGCCTTGCTGTAGCCGTTGCCGTACACGTGCTTCTTGGTGCTGTAGTCACCCTTGAAGGTGTGTCGGCGCCGACGCAGGGACACCACGATCCCGCCGACCACAATCAGCACCAGCAGGACGCTCCCCGCCACGCCCCCAATGATGGCCGTGGGCACCGGCCCCGCACGCAGCCCATGCTCAGGAGGAGATTGGGTATAGGGGAATTCTGGGTGAGGAAAAGAGATTGCGGGGGAGAGTGTCAGCATCCGCTCTTCGGGAATCAGCTGGGGGGAGGAGAGGGGAAGGAAAGGCCAGGGTGTGGTCCAGGGCTAGGGATAGGATGTCTGCACCCCAGGCTCAAGCAGCTCTGTTTCCAGAAAACCCTGGGCACCCGCCCTCCTGAAGCTCAACCGAGGTAGGCGAGGGGAGAGGCTGAGGACAGCACCTGCAGGCTCTGCCACCATGTCTGTTCTTGGAGGGTGGCCGTGCGCTCGACCCCATGCGCTGGGGCACAGAGGCACACAGTCCGTAACACCAGGCACCACTCGCTGCCACAGCCATGCCACGCAGACGGTTACTCATTTCTAGTTGATTCACGCAGCAGATGAGGCATACGGAGGTTAGATAACTTGCTCAAGGCCACCCAACGGATGATGCAACCGTGATTCCAATAAAGCCTGTGCAATGTCACCAATGTCCCTTTGCCGGACACCTAGAGGTCGCCTAGAGGTCACTGTACCCCAACACTATGGCCTTGAGACTCAAAGCTCAGACGAGACTAGGAGATCCATGACTAATTTAATCTGCTCCCCAGGACACAGGAAAACGAGTTCCCCGGTTTTGGCTCAGTAGATGCCAAATTTTGGCTGACTGTGAGTGCCAATCAGCTGCTTAAGGTGCCAGAAACCAGGGCTGGGGCTCTTGGCTGTGGTCTGGGCCTGCAGGGCACGGTGGGGGCGTGGTGGTGCTGCCGGCCTGGGCTGCAGGCATGAGACACGCAGCATGGCAGGTGGCAGGCTCACAGCAGGGCTGAGCACAAAGGGGAAGTGCAGGCACGAGCATGCACTGAAGACTTGCGGCTCCGAGGCTGCGCATGCGCATGGGCTGCAGCCTGCCCTGGTGTGAGGAATGCGCTGGTTTGGCTATGTGTACGCTGAGGACAGAGCAGAAACAAAAAAGCAGGCAATGGAATGAATGGAAAGGAAGAAGCTGGGCACCAGTGGCTCAGGCCTGTAATCCCAGCTACTCAAGAAGTCTGAGACGGTAGGATGGAGGTTCAAAGTCAGGCTTGGCAGGAAAATCTGTGAGACTAATCTCCAGCAAAAAGCCACAAGTAGAGGTGTGGTTTAAGTGGTCAAGCACCAGCCTTGAGTGAAAAAGCTAAGCAAGAGCACAAGGCCCTGAGTTAAAGCCCCAGTATCAGCATAAAAAAAGAAAAAAAAAGGAAAGGAAAAGAAAAGGAAGAGGAAAGGAAGAGAGTGGATGGGAGAGGCCGGGTCGGTGGCTTTTGCATCAGCAAGCCATCAGCTCTGGGCCATGCATGCTGTTCCTTCCTTTTGCTTCTAGAGCCTCGGGGTGGGGAGGTCAAACCAAGCCATATTTTACTAGGCAGAGGCCAAGAGGTCCCAGGTAGAGGCTGAGGGAGGTGGTTCCTGGCACTACCACAGGGTGGCGTCAGAGACCGTGACTGTGGGCCTAGAGCAAACCTGGAGGGCCATCCCTAGCTGTGCTCCCTCCCCTCTCCTGGTCAAGGCCAAGTTGAGAGCCAGGTTCAGGGTCTGTCTGTCTTGGCCCATGCTGTTACCCCTGGGAGCCGGTTGCTGCCAGCTCACTCCCTGATTCACCCCATCAGAATCACGTCCCTCCTCAGAGCCCATCCCCTGCTTCCGATGGAGCCCATCCCCTGCTTCCGATGGAGCCCAGCCCTGAGTGAGCCTGTAGGCTATGGGGTGGAGATTTTGGAAAGAGGAAAGACCTCTTGAAGGGGCGGCCATTTGTCCATGATCAGATGGCTGAGCTGAGGTCACCCAGATGTCCCTGTGCTTGGGGCTGGAGAAAGAAGCACAAGCCCGAGGACTCGGTCCCCCATTTGTCGCCCTGTGTCCTCAGTCAGGCCACTGAGGGGCTGTTCCGCATTGACTACCCATATCTAGAACCTCAAGCACCTGCTACCCCCTGAGACGTGAGCTGTCTCTGCATCAGGTGTGCAGGGCAGCTAGGAAGAGGCTGCTCCAGTCTGTACTTCCAACCTGCTGCTCCCTCTTTAGATCTCTCCAGATCTGAATTCTATACCTGCTTCCATCTTTACACTCAGCAAGCACATCCTGAGCCTATCTTTGCTGGTCACAGTATCTAAGAAACTCAGCCTCGCAAGGGATCCAAAGGGTATGCTTAGAGTCAGAGCGGTAGGCAGATACCACGGAACTGACAGTGAAGTGGTCAGAAGTACGGGGAAATGGAAATACGCTGGCACAGACAGTAAGCAGAGGGCACCCGGATGGAGGGACCTGCCTGCTGTTCCTCACACACGTCCTTTGCCTACCAGGATGAGGATTCCGGGATCCTTGGTGTGTCTCCGGCACAGAGCTGGGCCGTCTCTCTGCCCCAGCTGTCTCCTTGGAGCCTCTGCCCTTGGGCCGTCTGCTGTCTTTCCTAATGATAGACTACTCTCGGTTTCATGAGTTATCTTTATCTTCTTGGCTTGCCAAACATTTCAGGTATACAACGCTCACCTGACTCCAGAACTTTACCTCCAAAGGCCTTGCAGACACAATTTCCAAACTGTACAGAGGAAACTTGAAAAAATTGGCTCAACGGTCAGCAAAATCTTTAGGTCAAACACCCGGGGAAACGTTGGCTTAGATACAGCCTCAGGTTCTCACGCACACACTGAAAGCTATAAGAGGTGTAGGTGGGATGTTCTCTAGCTTCTGGGGTGTGAGGCCCAACCCGCCTGCTCACAGGACATCGCAGAGATCCCACATTTAAGGTCAGACGTTTGAGAAGCTGCTCTGAGCCTTTGCTGTATCTTGGAGATCCTGAGTTCACACTATCATGGGCTCAAGCACCAGCTTCTGGTGGAGGCCGTGCCCACCCAACCACATTGCCGGGTGTGAGCCCTCTGCTCCCAGCACTTCTGCTCCCCCAGACCCCCCCACTCCTCTGTTCTTTTTTCCATTTTACCTTCAAAAGTATTACAAAAACTTCATGGGACAGGGGTGTGGTCCTTTTTTGCTCACAGATCGATTCCTGAGCACCTAGAAGGCTCCCATGTGGCTGGAGTTCAAAAATCTCTTTTCGAATGAAGGAATAAATTGTCTCAGAGGTGAGCCCTGGTGTAGGGCGAACACGGGCTCAGGGGATACTCAATTGAACCAGGCATGGGGCACCCTGGGGACCTCATTTCACTGGTGTGGGGCACAGGAGTGGAGCGGTGGCTCCTGAGCAGATCACACATGGTTGCCTCCCTGATCTGGGCTTTCTGCTTCACTTGTTTGTTCCTAGGGCCTATGGAGGTTTACTCTTCCCTAGGGATCTTCTGGGATCAAAAGGAGACTTTATTTTTGGCTACGTTAGGGTCAGGCCTGAGTAAGAGGCAGAGGGAAGGCTAGGATGACCTTCCAGCACCGGGAGAGGACAGAAGAAAAGGGTAGGTGTGGGGACCTAATCTGGGTGCAGGCGGAAGGGGCTGTGTGCTGTGGAGCATCCCCCCTCCCCCTCTGTCCCTCCAGCTGTCACATTCAGCCAGTAGCTCCTGTCTCGGTGCCAGGAGCAGAGCCCCAAGGGCCGCAGCTGGGAGGAGAGAGAAGGGCGGCAGTGGAGTCATTTGTGCGGGCTGGCAGGGGCCCAGCCAGCTTCCCTCCCACTCTTACAGAAGGGGCAGTTTTGCTCTGTTTCTGAAGGGTTGCTGTCTCTCCTCACCGCAAAACCGTGCAAGTCGGGCTTTGCATTCCTCTGGGGCTCTGGCTCCCTGACCTAGGCGGATGGGTTGTGTGGGGATGCATCTGTGGTAGAGTGAGGGACAGAGTTCACAGTCTGGATCTAGAATCTGGAGGTTTGGGGGTCAAGGAGAAATGTTTTGGATTGTTTTCACAGTCAATGCCCGATGCTCCCTCAGACAGAAAATGCTCTAGCATCTGTCCAGCATCAGATCAGGCTGGGAAATAGTGAGAACTACATCTCCCAGCATGCAGTGCAGATGGCTGCAGGGAGAGTGGGAAGGCCTGGGGTCACACTCTGGGAAGTCTGGCCATCCTGCAGCTGAGTATTGGGTCTGACCACCAGGGGCCTTGCTGGAGGCCTCCGTCCTCCCAGAAGCATGGGCTCGGCTGCCTCCTAAGACTCCTGGACACACTGCTCATTTGTCAACAGCTTCAATATTTGCACACTCGACCTGAAGACAGTGGCAAGCCTGCTCACAGTTACACGCTCACAGAAACACATATCCACACTCATGCCTGAGTGTGCACACCTGCACATCAGGCCTTGAAAACCAACCATCCATGGAATTCCTGGTTTGCTAGGTAGAGCCCATGACCACATACCCAAGGGAGTCCAGACTGCACTGGAAACGGAGTTAGGTCTGGTGCCTTGCCCCTCGCAGCCTCCCTGACCTGCTCTTAGAAGAGGGGCAAGAGGCTGGGCCCCTGCCAGAGATGTCTGGCTACTCCCCTCCTAATATCTTGGGAGTAGATGCTACACCATTTGGTGTCCTGAGCTGGTCAAGGTGACATTCTGAACCTCTTCTCCAGCCTTGGCATTAGCCCCTGAGGAACAATGTGGAGAAACTCTACGTGTGTGTGTGTGTGTGTGTGTGTGTGTGTGTGTATGACCACTAAATCCTTGCTTGAAATTGTTCCTCAGCACAAGGGCTTGGGCAGGGTGGGCTTTTCTGGTGCCACGGAAGTTCCCCCACACACTCAGTTCTCACCACTCCCACAGACACAGCCTGGGCTTACTGTTTTATACTAGATGTGACTTGTTGCGGCAGCCCCTAACTGGCATCCAGTGCCACCACGGAGCCTCCTGAATGCACTCCATCGAACCCGTGCGCTGGACCTGCTGCTTTCCCGAGAGCCACCCAGAGCCCCTCTGCAGTCCTGCTCCTTCCGTGCCTGCCAGAGCTGCAGCCTCTCGCCTCCCACACGCCCTCCTACCCCCTGCCTGGCACCCTGACCTCCACGGCTTCCACTTATGCCTCTCTGTCGCCCTATCCATGTGCATCTACACACACGAGTGACTTTGCGCATGCCCCGCAGCTTACAGCGCCTGCCCTTGCCCTTGCTGCTCTTCATTCCCCTCTCCAGATGTGCGCAGGGCAAAGCTATTACCTGAACGGATGGCCAGAATGAAAAATTAAATTTCCACTTATCCGTCTCACTCAAGCATTGCCTCAGGACCAGTGGGGCTTAGAGCACAGGGCCCAGCTCAGCCTCGTGGCTCCCTCCCCCTGGAGAATTCCCATGTGGGGTAAAGGGTGCTAAGGTCAGCTGCTGCTCAGAAATTGACCGGGAGCATGACAATAAGCAGTCCTGGAAAGGCCCAGGTTACCTGGAGCAGTTCTCTAGAGGGGGCTGGGAGATGCCCTCGATAGGGCGGGCCAACAGTTCCGGAGCATGGCAGTGATTTGGTGAGTGGCATGCCTAATGGGGCTGTCAACAGCAGAGTCCCGATATGTCCCTCTTCTAGCCACAGTTCTCAGGGGGGCCTTGTCCATCTGCCCTCCAGATGCAGCACTAGCGTAATGACCGGCACGGGCAGGACAGCACACCACCACCTAGATGGAGCACCAAGCTGACCAAGCTGAGAGTAGTCTCCCATCCCCACAGGGCTTTCTCTCCTTCCTGCTCCAGATCTGAGCCTTACACTCTTGGCTGTCACCCTGCCCCTTAGTCTTTGGAGATAAAAAGCTGTGATCCTCTTGCTCACAGCTTTTGGGGGACAGGCACACATTATAGCTCGGCAGGGCTTCTGGCTGGTGCTCTTACACAGCCCTGCTGTTGTGTTTCTTGGCTTTTCCTGATTTCCCAATCAGCAGTTTCTCCAGAGAGCCCAGGATAGAAGGTGACAGATACATCATGACACGGGCATGCCACCCTTAAGGGAAGGCATCACCAGCCACAAGAAGCTTGAGATTCTAATCATGAAAAACAATGCCATCCACATTACAGAGGAGGAAGCTCAGGCTCAGAGAAGTGAAGAACTTGCTCAGGGCTACACAGTCCAGAGCTGATCTTGGAGAACACGTAGGCCAGGGTATGCTGTCCCGCACCACACTGCCTCTGAGAATTGTCCATTCCCCATCTGACTGCTCCCTAGGGAAGGGGACCCTGCATTTCCTCGTCTGACCCAGGGGGCCCCTGGATCACAGCTTGGCTCAAACCTGCTCCTCCTTTCTGTTTGCCAGGCTGTGGGAGTCCCCGATCTCTGGCCGATCTCTGTGTGTGTGTGGAGGAGCCTTTCCCAGGCTCCAGCCCCGACCCCAGGAACCCAGGCATCACTACCTAAGTTCCTGGAAGTCCGACGCCCTTTGCACATATTACGTTACTTCTTGCCCACCTGGCATCAGCAGGGTATCACTTTCTGTTCTAGAAGGTTCTTTCTGTCACTTTCTCACCCTGCCATTAGCTCCAGGAGTGACATTCCTTGTGAAGTTTGATGGCAATGACTCCTCTGTTGCCTTGTTTTGATGCTTCCCTTAATCATGATAATGACAGAGGTCATCATGATAATCACAGAGCCCTGGCCATTTATGAATAGACTGATCTGAGCTCGCTAGGCTACCTGACCTACATTGCGTATCATTCTGACATAGCCTGTCCTGCCAGCAGGCCACATTATCCCCACTTTACAGATAAGGCCTGCCGTGGGGCTTCTCCACGGGACATGCTGGCTTTGCTGTTCCTTTGCCCTGAGAGCATCACACATGCTGACAAAGATCAGGGGGGAAACAGCAATTCAGTTGCTGCTGGCTTTGGGCTGTGTCCTTGCTCCGGTCTCCCTGCCTGAGGCAAGCCTCACTCCTGCAGCCCAAAGGGTTTCTTCAGCTGCAGATGTTGAAGATGAGCTCTGTGTACAGACTGCCCTGCTAAGCTCGCATGCCACAGTAGAAGATCCCCAGGCAAGTCTACCCCCTGCTCGCCCTGCAAACAGCATCCCGGCAAACTCTACATCCTCCTCCTTCCTGGCCCTCTCTGATTAGGGCCAGGGAAGGGGGCACCCTAACTGCTCCATACAGCCTTAAATAAAGCAAAAAAGAGAGCAAAATTAGACCCATGGCTAGAGCTCCAGGGAGAGCCAGCAAAGCAGAAGACACAAAGAAGACACAAATTTTCCAGAATGATAGAGCTTAAAGGGGTGTGTGTGTGTGTGTGTGTGTGTGTGTGTGTGTTTGTGTGTGTGTGTGTAGCAGAGAAACCCCGGGGCGGGACAGCCCGAGCAGGTGCAGCTTCCTACCTGTGATATTGACCTCCACCTGGCCCGAGCGGGTACCGATGGGGTTGGTGGCCTCACAGATGTAAGTCCCTGCCAGACTGTAATTGATGGGTCCCCTGAAGAAGAGGGTCCTGTTCTGGGCCTCCACGCCCTTCGGGAGAGAGCCGTTCAGCCTGTAGGCATGGAGAGACAAGGTGTAAGGTTAGGAATCTTCTAGACCTCTGGGCCAGGGGCTTGGTTCCAAGACTTCTAGCTCTTTTGCTGAGTGCCTATGGTAGTAGTCAGTCTTAGAAGGAGGAGGAAAGAAATCAATAAGGACTGCTTGCATTTGGCAGTTTTATATTATTCAGCATACTAGATCATCATGTCACTGAAATGTATACAAAGCAGGTTTAACAGATAAAACCTGAAGTTCAGGCCAAGGAACCCAGCTAGCGAGCAAGCAGCAGGATGAGACCTCTAACCAAGTCTCTGGACGCCCGGTAGAGTACTCTTTCTACTGGTTGTTGGTCCTCAGTCTTCTGGGTACTGGGTAACAACGGGAGACGCCTTGATCCTGACCCCGGGTCTCCTGAAGCAGGACAGAAGCCTGGGCCTCTGCATTTTAAGAAGTTATTAGGGACAACGAGATGGGAGCTGTTGTGCTCCATGCCACTCGGGGCCTGGTGCTCTTGCTGGGCACGCCACAGCACTTTTTCAGGTGGAAGAATCCTGGAGTTTGCAGAGCACAGAGAGCTTCCTTCCTTCCTCTTGATTCCCAGGACCATAAAGCAATTGCTCAGTTAACGGAGCAGCCCCTCAGCCCACAGGGTCTGCTGGCTGGTAGCCTCTACTCACTTGTACCTTCAGAAGCATGTTTTGTTCCCAGAAGTGGAGGCGAACAGACAGGGCACACCAGGGTCCCCTGCTTCTTGAGACGGCGTAGACTTGCTCTGTGCTGTTGTCCTCTGGCCACCCAGGTGACCTTTCTTGGCTCCCCCTATCCCTGTCTCTGTTTCTTCTAGATCTTGGTGGGAGGAGCCATGCTTGGAGCTGGCTGGAGGGGATCTGGATCACTGTGGTCCAGGCCCCAGACCAGGAAGGCAGGAATGGGCAGAAGGGTGAGGGGTGGGTATTCTAGGGGCACAGGCATCTAGGCTCATGAATGCCTCCACTCCAAGAGTCTGCAGAGAAGGAGCAGGAAAGATCTGGGATGCTCCAGAATGCCAGCTTCCCCGGGGACACCTCGATGATAAAAATAAATACCAGGGGGGGAGTGACTCAGGCTGAATCACCAAAGGGAAAATGACAAAAGTTCTTTCTTAGGGACAGGGAGGGAAGCAACTTGAGAGGGGGGCCCCCACTGGCAGGATAGTTTGTCCTACTGACCCTGGTACTCAAATAGAGGTGCGTGTGTGTGTGTGTGTGTGTGTGTGTGTGTGTGTGCGCGCGCGCACGCGCTGATATGAGGTCTCTTAAGGTTCCCGTCTTACTGAAAAACCTCAACACCGTCTTCCGCCTCCCTGCTAAGGCTCCTGACCTCACTGTGAGCTGGCAGCGAGTACCTCACACACTTACGTGGTCCAGTGGTACTCCGTGGCTGGGGGGTTAGCGTCAGCTTTGCATGTGAGCCTCACATCTGTCCGCTGCAGGTACCAGTTGCCATCAAACCCCTCAATGGTCACCTCGGGCTCATCTGTGGGGCAGAGGATGATTTTGGAAGGAGGTGAGGTCAGCAGAACAGGACCTGGGGTGAGTGGCCCCCAGAGAGGGAAGGAATGGAAGGAACAGAGACATGGGGACAGTTGGGAAAGGGAGAGGGAGGTGGCATTGTGGGATCTCAGAGCAGAAATGGCAAAGGGGAATGGGAGGGAGGAAAGGAGGAGGCAGGTGCCAGTCCTGGGGCTTGAACTCAGAACCCCAGAAGAGGAGGGAGCCTGGAGGGTGGGGCTGGAAGAAGCCGCCCTGCTCCCAGGCCCAGCTCACACTGCACATTGAGAGTGAGGCTCTCCTTGAAGCGGTCCAGATGGTAGTTGACAATGCAGGCCAGGGACTGCCGGTGGGCCTCCCGGCTGGGTATGAGGCGGTAACGGCTAATGACGGTCACGGTGCCATTGGGGTTTCGGATCTCCTGGTACTCGGCTTCGCCCTTTAGCCGGGTTTCCCAGGACACCACGCTAGGAGGCTTCCCATTGGCTGAAGTGCAGGTGGCCACCAGGACCTTGTCATCCTGCCCCTTCCGGACTCGAAGCACCGCCTGGGTGCCTTCTATCCAGTTGGTGGGTTTGGCTGTGGGGAACCAGAAAGCAGCAGCAGGTCAGTTCTGGGAAGCGAGGTCCTCCCCTTGGCCGCCTGCCTCTCTGCGCACAGCTCACGCACGTGTTCCCTGCTGCACTGGCCGTCAGCCTTCCTGGCGTCTACCTGAGCTTTCTCACTCACGGTTGGTGCTCCACCACTGGAGCCACAGCTCTGCTTCCAGATTTAAAAAAAAAATCTAGTCAGTCTCACTGGCTTTCTTGCTACAACTGGCTTTGAGTCGCGATCCTCAGATCTCAGCCTCCTGAGTAGCTAGGAGTTAGCCACCAGCGCCTGGCTTGTGTCATGGTATCTGGCCAGGTAGCCTGGCCACTCACAGTGTCCCGAGGCAAGGCTTCCTACTTAAATATTGACTCTATTTGGTTTTCTTCCCCACCTTCCTCCCTTCTTTCTTTCTTTTTTTAAAATGGTGGTGGGGATCGAACCCAAGTGCTCTACCACTGATCCTCTATTCTGTCCATAGCTTTGTCTAGCCCAATCCCTAGAAAATTGTGGACAGTCTGGCTAGAAGCCTAGAGCTTTGCCCAAGGAGGGTATCAGGGCCACCGAGGCAGCATTAGAGATGGCCAAGCCCCAAGAGCACAGGCATCTGGAGAGACACGGAGGGCGGCCAGCTTACCCATCACAGTGAGATTGAGTTGGCTCTCCCGGTTGCCGGTTGGGAAGGTAGCAAACTCGCAGATGTAGACGCCCTCGTCCTCCAGCTCCAGGCGGGAGAGGCGAATGGTGCCGTCGATGAAGGATGGCCGCAGGAACTTCACTCGCTCACGGTAGGGAGGCAGCACGGACACACCCATGGCTGGATTATAGATGGCCACATTCTGCTTGGAGCCGTTGGTGGCCTTCTGCCACGTGACCTGGGTGATCTTCACAGCGGGCAGAGGGTTGGCAAAGCTACAGTGCAGTACCACGTCTGTGCCGATGAAGCCATACATGGAATCGTTCACCTGAACCACCTGCGAGTGGGTGCCTGGCAGGGGGGAAGGCAGAGCATGGTCAGGGCCAGTCCCAGCTCCCTGTCCCCCTTGCTCCCTGTGACTTTTATAGCAGTCGTTAGTTTTTAAATTCTTCTTATAAAAATAATTACTTGTTATAAAAACACTCTGGGCAGTACTGAAAACTATTGAGAAGAAAATTACACCATCACATCCATAGAATCCATCTTCTCTGTCCACATAAATGAGCAAAATCACAATTACACCATACAGATTATCACTCCTTTCCCATTCAGTAACATATTGCTATCTCTGCATGCTATCTATCTATCTATCCATCCATCTACCTACTATGTATCTATCTATTTATCTACCTATGTACCTATGTATCTACCTGTGTATATGTATGTAGTATGTATGTATGTGTATATGTATCTTCTCCACCCCTGTGAGATAGGATCTTGCTATCTATGTAGCTCAGCCTGGCCTTAAACCTCCTGCCTCAGTCTCTTGAGTGTTGGGATGGCAGACATCCATCACCACAGCCGGTACATCCTCATTTTGGGAAGTGTCAGATGCTCTGCTTGCAATTAAGAGTCCCGGCCCATGAGCTCTGCGCTTCTTTACTTTCCTGGCCTCAGTTCCCTCATCAGATAAATGGGGCGGATAATCCAGTCTTCTCTACCTCAAGGGGTTGCTAGGAGAAGCCAAGGCACAGGGGCTAGAAAGTGCATCATGCGACAGGAAGCCACGGGGGAGCATGAGGCTCACGGTGACCCACATTGCGGCCACTGCACTGTCTTCTCCCTCATGGCTCCCTCTGTGCTGGGTCACCATTTTCTGGTGGCCAGGCAGAGGGACATAAATGCCACCCAAGGCTGGGTCTCTGCTGGTTCTGATGCCTTTATAATCAGGTCTAAATGCCTTAACTTGGCTTTTGGCATCTATGGCGGTTGCCTTTTGTCCACACCTTTCCAGAAGCTGGGCTCTTCAACCACATCAGACCTGTCCTCAACATGGTTCTTTTCTGTTCCCTTCTCTCCCTCCCAATTACCCCAGAACTGTTTGCTGAGTAGCTACATGCCAGGATCTATTATTGGTACTTGGGTCCTATCAATGAGTAATTAATTCAGCCAGCCCCTGGCAGATACAGCCAGCCGCGTGCAGAACCCATCCACACAACCCTTCTCAACTTCTGTTCATAGAGTTCCTTCAACTGTGTGGGTCGCTCTCCCTCTCCACCTGTGGGGAGCTTGTGGTAGCCCCCTCCCAGCCAGAAGCAGCCAGCTACCTGAGCATGGCTCTTTCTGCCTTGGAGTGATGTTTATGTACCTTCTATGTCTGCTCACGTATCTGCTTAGGTATCTTATGTATCCAGTGTCCAGCCCAGCCCCTGGCCCACAGGACAGGTTTCCAGGTTTACTTTTCTCTACTACTAGCAAACAGTTCTCCTTGGATGAACTGCAAGGGAAGGCCTGATAATAATGATTTGCAAGGAGGGAGCAATGGGTGTTGTGGAAGGAACAAGTCCCCTCCTGACTCCCCACTGATGACATGATCACATCCGGAATGTTTTGGTTGAGCATCCTTTCCCTTGAAATTGGCTGTCTCCTCTATCCTGGCCTGGCCTTCCCCGGCCCTAGGCTCTGCCCTCTGCCCCCCAGCCTGTGCTCACCTCTCAGCCTGTCAAGTCTGCATCCTTGACACACATTTGTGTACTCATGTCCTTGCAGCTTTACTTCACAGAGTCAGTTTATTGGAGGGCCATCCGTACTATCAATAATGCAGACTCAGAGATAGGGGGGTGGGCTCCAGGGGAGTCTAAGATCTAAGGGTGAGAAGTGGGGGCGTGTGCATGATGGAGACTCAGGAGCAGTGTGGGCTCCAAAGCCCACGGTCAAGGTGTTTCATGGCTCCCCACCCTCTCCTCCAGAGCACAGGTGACTATGGAACCCCAGTGCTCAGTACACAGCAGGAACTCCACAAGTGCTTGCTCAGCCAGGTATGGTGGTGCACGCCGTAACCCCCGCACTCTGAAGGCCGAGGCAGGATCTTGCCAGGCCGAGCTTGCAGAAAAGAACCAAGAAGGTCAGTGTAGTTTATGTGCCTACGCAAAATACAATAATGAAACATGTTGAAATGTTCTAAGGGGCAAGTAGATGGGGAGCGTGACAGAAGGTGAGGTGGACTGGGGTGCTCGTGTGCGGAAAGGTCATAAGGACCGTCCCCCAACAATGCACATTAATACTAACTAAATAAACAATAGAGAAAGAAGCAAAACTGTACTCGAGTCTGTGTGTGTGTGTGTGTGTGTGTGTGTGTGTGTGTGTGTGTGCTAGCACTAGGGTTTAAACTCAGGGTCTAAGTGCTGTTCCTAAGCTCGGTTTGCTCAAGGCTGGCACTCTACCACTTGAGCCAGGGGGCTTTTTGGTGGTAAGTTGGAAATAAAGAGTCTCAAGGACTTTCCTGACAGGGCTGACTTTGAACTGGGCTGCTAAGAGCTCAGCCTCCTGGGTAGCTAGGATTATAGATGTTAACTACTGGCGCCTGGTTCTGTATATGGCTGTCTGGGTGTCCCCATCCCTTCCGCTGCTCCCTGGGCTGTTCTGTGGGTGCCTAGTACCTAATAGCTTTCAAGCAGAGGCACTGGGGCTGCAAAGGGACAAGTGCCACCGACAGTCAGAGGCTGGGCTCTGCCTGCTTGTGCCTTTGACTGGTCACTGTGAGACCTTGGCCAGTCGCTTCCCCCTTTTTGAATCCTTTCTCCTTCTTTTGCAAAGGAGCCAGCTGGGCTCCCAGTTTCTCCTGGCTCTAACTGTCTGACAGCAGCCCAGCCCGGGCCTCACCCTAGAGAAACAGTCCCACAGAGAGGTCAGTGGGTCAGACAGTCCAGCACTCTTGCTGACTGGCTGGCTGGAAAGCGGTTAAGCCCCAGAGGATCCTCCCCATCCTCGGGCAGGAGAAGTGGGTGCTCCCTGCCCGCCCCCCCCCACAGCTTCCACTCCCCAGGCCTGCTGGAGGCTGCCCAGTAGCTGAGATAATATGGGCATAATTGGAGAACTTGCGCCACACAAAGCCAGGAACTGGAAAAGCCAGTTAGAGGGCTTGGGCCCTAGGTGTGAGAGGGGGATGGGGCAGGGCTCTCAGAGCCATCTTGAGACTGGTACCAAGTATGGTGGGTCTACAGAAGGACACAGCCTCCTCCCTTTCCCCCTGCCATGCATGGGGCCCAGCAGGGCACGGGCCCAGGCCCACAGACTGACAGCCACCCACCGCTTCCCAGGTGACCTCACGCTTCAGGCCAGGCCAGGGCAGGAGGGGAGGTCCTTGTGTGGGCCGGGGAGGGCACTAAAGGGCCTGTGTGCCTAGGCAGTGAGCTCTACCAGCGGCAGCCCTGTGGCTGGACAGTCTCCTCGCTGCACATGGGCGTGTCCCCAGTCCTAATGTGGTAGTGATGGCCAGGGTGGGGCCGGAGGACCTCTGACGAGGTGGCTCCCTCACTTTCACTCTTGTCTGTCATGGGTGACTATCAGCAGCGTCGGGGAGGTGGCCCTGGAAGGGCCTGACGGACTCTTGGAGCAGCGAAGGTGAGGACAGCTTCCAGCCCGGGAGGGCCGGCGGCTCTTCAAAATCCTGCTCTTCCCTATTTCACCCAGACCCAAGCTTCTGCCAAGGGGTGCCTGGCCTGGTCAAGGGTTGCAGAATAGAGACAGCATTTTTAGCTTTGAGAGGGCACACGGGGAGGCCTCCTGGGGGGGGCAGGGGGTGGCCCTGAGAAGGGACAGGAGGGGCTGGAATCCTGAGCCTTCCTGGGAAAGCTTCGGAGAAGGGTCCAAGATTAAAGGATGCTCTGGGGGGGGGGGGGGGGGCATGTCCACCGAGATTGCCCAGCCTCAGGCAGTCCCAACGCCATGACATCTGAAGCTGGGGATGGAGGTGACGGCTCCCACCCTCTGAAGAGCTCCAGCCCCTCAGGAAGAGCCACCGTGTGTTTTGTTTTCTGCCTCTGCCAGCGACTTAACCTCTCTATGGCTCAGTTTGCACTAAACCGTATGTCTCCAAAACAGGGATTCTTATCATCAACACTATAAAACTATATGCCCCAGAAAACTGTTGTGAGAATTAAATGAAGGAGTATAAGCAGCATTCAGTACACAAATGCTTACTACCACCACCACCACTACCACCATCATCATCATCATGACCATCATGATCATGGTCATCTACTGAGCCCTGGCCGTTGTACTGGGTGTTATGAGACCATTCCTCTATTGGGACACCCTTGTAAGTCTCATCCTTTCCTTCTTGGCTGACACAGACACCTCAACAGTATAGAACCTGCACCTCTACCTCGTTATTGTCCATTTCCAGACGGTGTAGGGTCTATGTCCTATGTCACAAGAGTTGGCAGACCCCTGTGAGGGAGGCAGGAGCAGGCTGGGCCTTGGATTGCATTGAGTGCACTATACCTCACCCTTGTAGATCTGGGGCTTGAGGGACATCTGCCCACCCTCTGTTCCCAGGCAGGGATGCTGCTCACAGAAAGCACCACCTATCCCCCACCCCCAAGGTGGTGGGAAATTGGACCACTCACATGGCAGCACATGGGAGCTCAATAGACCAGGCAGCCTGTCACTTTCCAAGTCTAGCAGCCTCTGGCCTGGTGCTCTCCCACCCTGACTCAGACCTGACTCTGGCTGAAGTCTTCCCAGAATGCACTTTATGAGCCTCAGACATCCCCTACAGAAAGATACAAACTCCTGTGATGGTATGCGGCCGCAGTCTCTGCAGGCACCCCACCTGCACTGAATTTTGGGGAGCCCAGGTGACAGTACCTGCAAAAGGTTGCTCTGAATAGAACAAGATGAAGAGAGAGACGCCCGCAACACCTGTGCCCGCACAGAGGGGCTCTTGTATCCTGGGGATACGGAAGTTCCGCCTATATTTTCCCTGACAATCCCTAACATGCTCAGGGTACAGGTTCCTGGGGCCTGTGCTTAGGTGCCTCAGTTTCTCCCACAGATGCGTTGGGCTGGGCAGTTTGGGTGACCTGGCTTTCCAGAAGTGCTGAACCAGCAGGGCAGGCATCGGGCCTGCCCCCAGAACGTCACAGAGCTGCAAAAGCCCGAGCTCAGCAACAAAACACAAAGGCTCCTCAGTTGTGGTGGACAAACCTGCTCCCCAGGCCCAGCCCTGCCTGCCTCAGAGCTAATCTGCAGGTGGGAGGCACAGGTTCTCACAGAGGGTGTGGCACACGGGCTTGGAGCAGTTTCTCTTTTTGCCCTGTTAGACCTCAGACCCCTTCATGTAAGCCACACCGGCTGGGACTGGGCCCAAGTGAGTGGGTAGCTGAGCAGGGGGACTGGGTGACATGAGGGGGAGTTGAGGGTTCTGTGGACCACCTTGCCCCCCTTTTCCTGACAACTGAGTGAGCAAAAGTGGCAGCACACTGTAGAGAGAGCAAGTCTCTGCGCGTGTGTCCATGTGGGGTGCTGGGCCCCCAAGTGATCCATTTCTAGGGCTTTCCAGGGATGCTCCCTGTCCCCTCCCCCATATGTAGGAATTGGCAGGAAGGACGTGAATTCTGGTGAGAAACAGCTAAGTGTGAATGGGGATGGCTCATCCATGGAGAGGGAAAGGGTCCCCTTCCTGCCCCCTCCATCTTAGGATCTTCCTCTGGTGCAGCCTCTTCCCCAAATGCCCACTCCCCAGGCTGGCTGGCTTCTCACCCTCCAAAGCCCAAGCTGGATCCACCTGGGAGAGACTGGCAAGGCAGAGGGGAT